TATTATTATTTTATTATTTAAAAAAAAAAGATAATTAAATATTATATATATATAATTTATTTTCTAATATTTTAATATTCAAAAAAGAAAATTAGGTCTGCCTGTAACGTGTTGCTTTCGCCGATAAGCGTTCTTTATTTTATTGTATTTTATTCATTTAATACAAACTTAATACTACTGCTTTTAAAGAACGCAGGAAATTGTAATGTATTACTCTCGAATTTCCAATATGTTGAAAAGAAAAGTTATTATTGTAGAGATTGCGTATTTTGACAGCTTTTTCTACCGCGCGACGGCTAGAATTCACTCGCGGTATGCTGTTTTTGCCGCTAATGGAATATTAAACATAAAATTTACTTAAACAAAAATATTAGAAATAATGTTTTTAAAAAATTAAGATTTTAATAATATTGTGGTATTGTAATCAATAATATATATATAATATAATAAGTAAAAAAAAGAATTAAAATTAAAGACGCCTGTAAATAAAAATTTGGTGAAAATTTGTGAAGAAATGTTGCTGACAAAAAATCTTTTAAATTAATTTTACTTTTATTAATACTAGGATATATCATACTATTTTGAGGATTAAAAATGCAAGTGATATTCAATTAAACTTTTGCTTAAAGAGTCTTTACGTGAACTTTGTCAGTGAAATTTCCAGAGATTGTGCCCGACCGTCAACCAGTAGTTATGCGCCAATTGTGCGCGACAAACTTCCGTGAGGCTGGTCAGGATGGTCTCGAGGGAGAAGAAGGATAGGGAGAGGCAAATATTATTAACGGGACAGGTACTAAACGTTTTGCGGCAGCGATGCTCCCGACGGGGGAGAGTCGAATGACGACGGCCAAGAGCACAAGGGCAATGGAAGAAGAAAAATGTGGCTATCATGGTTGCAGTGCGGTAATAATCTTTCCGTGGTATCGCCGCCGACTATATGTATCCGATACTGACAGGCCGCGCGCAAGGAGTCAGATTCCATGTGAGGGAAGATTTATTAACAAACGCTACACCATGGGACGCTGATAAATTGTCGATAAAAAAAGAGCGCGACGCGATGTTGACCCCGATGCCTTCTTGACAACCCTTTCATTCTTCCCTGGCTTGATATTCCATTATTATGGGCTTTCTATTTTAGGATGATATAGTATATGCGGGGTATGCTATATAAAATATATATTTAATCAATATCTTGATACGAAATAATATCTTGTTTTTTCCTCGTTTCTCATAACAAAAAAAAAAAAAATGGTAGAAAAAAAAATTTGTTCTTGACATTTATTTCCTTTTATGTGACGAGGAAGAGAAAAAAAACGGTAAGAGATTTTACACATACATATACAGCATTCAGCTTAAAAATATTTCTGTTTAGTTAGCCTTTTAGAACATGTGTGGATACATAATAAAGAGAGTACCTAAGAAAACGTTCCATGAAAAAATACAAGATTTTCCTTCTTCTCTTTTTAGAGAGAGTGTAAATGTTATTTAAATTATATATATTTACTAATAATATAATTTTTTATACTATTTCAGTATTAGTGACATCTCTCTCTTAAAATTGAACAAAAAATAAATCGCTTTTATTTATTCATGTATCTAAAAATTAATTTTTTAAAAGTTGTTTTTTTAATCACTTATAATATAAAATCTATTGAATACATTATATTTTTATTAAGGAGAAATTAATATAAAATTGTTCACACATAAAGTTTATTAAATTTATTAAAGTTTATTAAATTTATTGATCAGCATTAATTTTGTGTGTGTTTTTTTAGGCTATCTTTTTTAATTCTTTCTTTTTAATTGACTTTCCTTTCTATTATATTCTACAATATTCATATATTATAAAAATAACGTATGCGCTCTTGGGAAACTTCAAAAATTATTTGTTTTAGTAAGTTTGTGATATTTAATATATATAATCCAAAGAAATTTGTTTTGCGTTACATTGGTTATCATCAATAATTTCAAGCTTGTTAACTCGACGGGCAATTGCCCAAGTTGTATTTGCGCTATTTGCCTGAATGTCGCGAAGAGGAGTTTCGACCGGCAATCTTGACTAGTGCAATTCGAACTTTCCCGCTTTGGACATATCGGGTAAATATCTATTCCAACAAACAAGGCTGTGTATACCGTGTATGTAAATGGAGATAACGATCCTGCATAGATAAATCGATCTTAGAATAGAACAGAAATGTTCAATACATTCCATATTCAAGAATATTACTGCCCAGTTGCTATATATAAATAAGTATATAGTACTAGTTTTTAGATTTCCAACAAGACATTTTGAGAAAAAAATTGCAGTATTATATTTATATATATTTCTGGTTGTACATTTTTACTTTTGGTAACCACTTTTTTTGTTACGTGTGTATTTTATATATCTCAAAAATTTATTTCAAATCAAAGTTTTGCGCATCAAA